AGTCGGCGTCGCACGCGCCCGCGCACCGGGACCGCGCCGCCGAACAGTTGATCAGGGGCTCACCGGAGATGCTCGAGGTCAAGATGTCCATGGACGGGTTCGGCGCGGAGGAGGGCGCCACGTCGTGCGGTGAGGAGGCGGGCGAGGCGCTCATGATCGACGAGGGCGACGACGCCCACTCCAACGAGGCCCCCACCTCCGGCAAGGACTCTGAGTCTGCAGGTACGTGCTCACACATAATTGAACTAGCTCATATCAGATTTTTGTTATCCTAGTAGTTAAATTTTTATTATTTGAAAATACCAAATTTTAATTATTGTTATTTTTTAAACAAATTGTAAAATGAAAGAAAAGAAAATAGGAACCCCGTGAATATTTTAATTTCGCTTGTCTTTTGTAAATACGTTATAATTTTCCTTTCCATTGACCTAACACCGTTTTTTTGATTTTGTATAAAACGTTTAAAACATAAGAGAAAAGCTAATGGGATATAAGCTTTGATGTTAGGATTTGTATTAAGTGCAAAAGTGAAGTGTATTATTGACTACCTATTTATTTATTTAAAGTTTATTTTGAAGGGGTAAGTGATAATCTATCAAATTATTATTGACGTATACGTACTCGATAAATGCTTATTTCTTCTACGAGTCATCAGTTTAACTATTGCTTGCTTTTCTGCTTTCGGGGAGAGCTATTAGAGGAATGGCCAGGGGCGATTTCGGTGTGGTAATGGTTTGGATAACATAATTTCACTCTATTAACTTCTTAAACATATATATAATACACAAGAAACGGGAAAACGAACAAGGCTTATTCCCAATAGCTTTCCTTCATTCAAAGCATAATTGGAAATATTCTAGTTTACGAACATCCTAATTTTATTTTTGTCCGCGCACGTAACCTCACCCACTATAATATTTCCAAAAATCATTACTTTAAATACGGTTTACTAGCGATTTCATTGAGGAGATAAGAAATTAAATTATAATATTTCAGATATTGAAAAAACAAAAGAGGAGTCGTTTAACCACAATCCGACAAACGGACCGACCCTAAAAGTTGAAAATGGATCCATAAAGCAGGAGCCCGTCTCAGAATCCGCCGACGAATACAACGAGCCCATCGAATATAAATACAATCCGGAAAGAAGCCGCGAAAACTCAAACTCGCAGGAAGGTCCCATAAAAGACATAGAAGACAAAACCAGACAAGGTCGTAATCTAAAGCCAAAGAATAGTAAAAAACTGCTACCCCAAATGTCCAAATTTAGAGCTCGAAACTTATTCAGTCAGCTCTCCGGTCTCTCCAACTTGAATCCAGCTCTAAATAGTTTCGATAAATTTCCCCCCGAAACGGTACTGATGCCGGCGCTCGCAACACAGTTGTTCGCGGCTGAACTCGAGCAGGGCAATCTCAACTTGCCAGCTAACGAAATATCCGATTTATCCCAAACCAACTGGGAACATCGCATTTTCCCTTCCCCTATTAGGAAAAATAACATAGGCAATGTAGGCAGTTATCACGAGGAGACCAATGAATCCGTAAGGGATTATTGCATTAAGGAAGGTGAAAATGTTTTTCGTTGCAAAATTTGCGCGAGGGTGTACACCCACATCAGTAACTTCTGCCGACACTATGTCACGTCCCACAAGAAGGACGTCAAAGTGTTCCCTTGCCCTATTTGCTTCAAAGAGTTCACTCGCAAGGACAATATGATCGCGCACCTCAAAATAATACACAAAAATCAACCGAACGCCGGCGAGCAAATGGCGAAACAAGAGTCTTAATTCCAAACTTATATTCGGCTACTTAAATTCTTTTGGAAGTAAAACAGATCTGATTTACGAAGTAGGATTGTTTTTAAGTAATAGAATTCGATTTAAATATAGCAGCTATAGTAGATTGCAATTGATTAGGCGTTCGAGCTCTAAATTTCACGAATGTATCAATAAGTTTTGTTGATATTTTATGAATAATACGTCGTTTGTTGTTATATTTATGTATTTATATTTGTTTGTTCCATTTGTTTCTGAGTGCTTGACCTCGGGAGATGTTTACGATGGATTCTATGATTTACTTGTTATTTTGCACTCACTTGTTACTTAATTTTATTACTTACAAAAATTTCAGGGTACAAATAAACTTACTCATGGTGATTTTATCGAGCGTAGTCTGTTCGGATTACATGCAATTCTCATTGAACTGAATTAGTTAGTATAGGTTTAGGTGTTACTTTACGAGTATACCAATGGCGCGGCCTTTTTGTAAAATTATACTTAAATATTAATAAGACGCTAAAATTGTAAGCAAGTTGCAGATATCCTAATGAAGAGGCTAAACAATTTACAAAAAGGTTGGGAATGTACGCCAGCGTCTTTACGTAGTGGTGTGGAATGCATTTTCGTTTAACTTGCCTTAATAGTGATCTTAGATGTTAATAAGATAACTTCTCCGAAGTAAAACTCAACACGGGCTATGATAATTTCTAGGTTTTTTTGTTAAGATTAATTTAAAATATTTTATCAATGTTAATATACTTGAATATAGGATTACGAAATATGATTGTAAACATTATATTGTGACAACAAACTTACATTATTCATTAAAAATCTCGGTAAATATTAAATACTTAGTAGATTAGAGTCAGTTCCTCATTATGTATATTGACAGTTTTACAGCTCTGAATAAGCTAAAAATATTTAACTAATCCACGTGCACATCGTAGTGATGTGTAAATGATATATTTATTAATAGAAAAAAAATCTATATATTAAATATCAGTTTCTGTCAAAGACAATATAATAGAGAAAATATATTAGAATTCACAATATAAGGGACAAAGAGATATAAACTATAAAATATTCTATTTAATTTTAATGATTTAGTAAAAAAAAATACATATTTTTCCGGGGATAAAATCGAGAGAGGTATAAATGATATTGTATATATTTGTAACGGTACCACATTGTGTTGTCATGTGATTGAGGGAGGTGCTTTGAAAAAAAAAATATATTACTGGAACCATGAGATGATTTGTAAATTCTATTTTATTAGTAAACGGAACACCTTAATAGTAAGGAGATGTACTTATAATGTTTTATTTAATTAATAGAAAATGTAGTCTTCCATATCTTATAGTATCACATTATCGAATACGGAATATCAGTTATACCCTTGTTATGAGAAAAATCTATTTCGATTAGTACAACATGTTTATGTTGATCCAAAATATAAATGTTTCCAACTTAGGAGCGGAGGGAACGCTTGCCTATTAGTGTGCCTTTACTTGTAATAAAATAAGTTAATTCACTATGACTACTAGTTGACTAAGAAATTCAAAGAATATTATGTATAATTATTTATTTTCATTATTCAGAGTTTACAAATCTACTTTAAGAAGCTTCCTTAGTAATAGTAACCTTTAGGCCCGGGTAGTTAAACGTAACAAGGAATATACGTAAGAACATCATCTCATGTTCCCCTTTTCTTGGAAATTAGAGACGAACTGTAAATTAACTACAAAAAATATACAAGATTCTAAGGCTTTCGAGGCCGAATAATCAAAATGAAGACTGTAAAAATCATTATAAAAACGAATTTATTGTACCTACCTTTCATAAACTTTATATGAAATTTATCTCGAAAATTCGTTGGGTACTTAAAATGGAGGGAAAATATATTTAATTTAGAGGTGAGGCTATAAAAGGGAAAGAGGATATTAATAGTCAATTTAGCCAGTGCCTAAGCCTGCCTTTTAGAAAATTGAAGACATTTTAATCATTTTTGATTCCGATACAGATGTATCCGGTGTTCCTTTGATTTGTAGATAATGGCTATAACACTTTATTTATAAACGACAGAGTTATATAATAATTTTAATAAACAAACAACATTATTTATTGTTAAAAGCTATATCATCGATTGGTGCTAAATTAAACTTAAGAAAAAATGTCACATTTGATGTGACATTAAAAATATATTGTCCCTAATATATTACATTATATATTATTTGTTAAATTGTTATTTTAAATATTGTAAGTTCCATTTCTGTAGAGGCAAATATTACGAAGTGGAAATTAATTTGCAGTTCAAACTTACAAAGCTATAAAACTGGTTAATCCATATTAAATACAGAGATAATATAAAATAATATATTGCATCATCATATGTAGAATATATAATATTGTTGGCTCTTCACAGATATTTATTTATTGTTTATAGCTAGAGGAATACACATATTTCAGTGTTACTATTATCAGAATTTCTTAACTATTTAAAATATGAATGTATATTTTTTTTCTTCAAGATAATATCTGTATGACAGTGCTTAGAGAGTTGTTAATATTAATTTGTAAATCGTTATTCGATTTCTCTACTCTCAATAAGTAATTAGAAATGTAGCGCTACAAGTTTGAAAAAGGGTTATAGAATTTTAAAGAATGATCTTTAGATGCTCTTAATTGTAGATACAATAGATAATTGATTTGTTAAGCAATTCGAGAAATTAATGGGGCCAATTTTGTGCCCGAGTCGATAAAGTTTATTCCATAATTATTGTATTAAAAATTCGTTTCTAGCGTCAATAGTGATCGGAAAATAATTTGACTTAACAGTTATGATGAAAAAAATCTTGGTTAGAATGTATTTAAATGGACCAATTGTCCTTAATTCACAGAAAAAATATGAAAAACCATGAAAATGTTATTAAAATATTTCCCGTTCACTATAATACAAAACAGTTATAATAAAAAGTTATTTAAAATGTACTGCCTTAAATCATCTCAATTAAATCTTGCCTTATATTATACCTGAATAAATATTAAAAGAAAAAAATCAGGCAGTAAATTTTGAGTAACTTGTAGATAATTTTCGGCTCAGTGCCTCAATGTAGTTTAAATATGATCAATGCATTAAAATTTTACCTCTCATAAGCAAAACCAATAGCTCTATTTAAAAAATATTTATCTTCAAATAAACAGACGATATTATATTATATTGATAGTCTATAGCCAAGTTGAATCCATATCTTTTTTGGTTATGCACTTAGGCAATAGAAAATGCAAAAGTAATATAGCAAGGACTAGTATGGTTACATGACATAGAATTATTTGTTCATGAAAAATTCATCGTTATACAATAAGGTGTTAATTACTATTTTTAGAATCTTTAAAGAGAATAATAAAAGTTACAGCAAAACTAGAAAATCTTTTGAATTCGTTATGTTATGTTTCAAATTGTTATAATTTTATTTTTACCTCTTTTTGTTTTTGTATCTTATTACGACATGAGGTCGTATAAGAATTTGGCGAATGTGAGCCAAAAACAACAATTAATTTTATGACTTAATTCTTTTAAGATATATTTTCAGCGTTGTAGGAAAATTGTCTAGAGTTTAAATGCAATTATTTATCATTTTAGTTCCACAAATCGATTGAAATATGCGCGTTATTTGAAGATACTTTAACCGTGGATGTTCACTAACGATACAGCATAAAAAAGATATATTGTCATCGCTTTGATTCTCTTTTTAAAAACAGATACTGTCATTCTTCATTTGTTTCTGCAGTGTAAACCCACGGTTAAGAAGAAAAAACTACATCGAAGTGTCACATTTGTAAACAAAGTTCTAAGGTGATAAACGCAACGACGATGCTATTTTTGACTTTATAAAAAAATATACATTACTATAACATATATTTTAATTGTTAAAGTAGCAAAGTAACAACACGGGTTATTAGTAAAGATTAGAATAAGTATTTATATTATAATTTAGTTTTAAATTGTGTTGTTAACAATGGAGTGAATTTTCTAAAGTGTAGAAAATGTGTAGTCAGGAAGTGAGGACTGATCAGGTAGGTATGACACTGTCCACGTGTCCTAGCGGTGTGGTTAGAGCTAGATTTATGTTTAACAATATGCTTTCTATGTTGCTCAAAATGACGCTATGCGAGAACAAAGTATTTTTGGTTCAGTACAAAATATTGCTTTTGTGATTTTTATTTTACTATTAAAGTTTTTTTTTTCTTTGTTACGATCTGTAGATTATGAGGCTTTATATCTTTAAATTCTTGTTAATTGTTTTGATTTCTATTTTTTTTCTCTACATACTTATATTTACTTTAATTATCTTGTTATGTTTTAATTATGATTCGGAATGCAGCTACAAATGTTTTATATCGATTTTCAACTTAACAACCCACCTTTTGTGATCTTAAGAAGCTAAGAGAGCTGAAGCGTTATTATTTAATTACGTACCAACAGGTACTACCGAACTTGCCGAAATAGTTCCAAATGCAATCACTTGAGTCCTATTATTTAACATAGTTAGAAACTTCTTTTTTGTTAGATTTTTTTTATTTATTATTTAGCAATACGATTATTTTTTAAATAGTTTAATTAAGAGGTTTGACTTTGCAGCAGTTTGACATATTTCTAAATATACATTTGTTTAAAATTCACTGCCTAGATTTGTATAATAAATTAGATTGCACAGAACATGCAGTGTAGAAAATGAAAACGTTTCTTCTTTTCAATTCGACATTTTGTTTCCTTAGTTTTATATATTTTATTTTAGGATTCATTGCATGGATGAATTTGTTTCTCAGCATCTATAAAATTGTTTTTTTTTGTATAAAGTGAATGTTCTTGGTGCTATTTGGGACATACTGTATGTCTCGTACTTGTAACAAACGGTTGAGCCGTGTGTACGGCGGCAGGCGGCCGAGCGACAGGTTCATCCATGAAGTAGTTCCATTATTGTCTCCTTCTTTATCATGGTGTAGTAAATTTCCTCATTCACTTTGAACAAATAAATAATTATTATATTTTCGTCTTTTGTTTTTTTTTACCCACTTTTATTAGTTAATTTACCTTTTATTTACTTTAAAGTAGATGCCAGAATGTACGTATCACTTAGAAAGCTATTTATGTTAATGTTGCTTAAAATGCGAATAAGTAATGCATTCCTCAACTGATTTCAGGACGTGGCACACCCGATCTTGACAGCAAAGATTTGAAGTACGCACAATCGCCAGGACACGACGCACACGGAAAGATACGGATAAATCCTGCAACGCAGCACGCGTCTACCTCCACCGAATACCAGAGCGATTCATTAAATAACAATTTACAATCTGGCGGTAGTCAGATGCAACGGCCGGTGGCAAGAAGAAGGTTACGGAGGAGAGCGAATTCTGCTTCTAACGACCCTGCGGAACAGCTCACGGAAATGTCGGTCCGAGGCCTCAATTTGTTCCGATACGCCTCAGTAAACGAAGGCGTGTATCAGTGCATTGAATGTGCGAAAGAGAACATACAGAAGACGTTTAAAAACAAGTATTCATTCCAACGGCACGCGTTCCTTTACCACGAGGGGCAGCAGCGGAAAGTTTTTCCATGCCCAGTGTGCTGTAAGGAGTTCTCGAGGCCCGACAAGATGAAAAACCACATGAAGACGACGCACGATTGCTACGTTCCTAAGGACTGTGTGTATCCATCGAACGCATTTTTCATGATGCCGGGGATGGAGGGCCAGCTGCCACCCGGGATCAAGCTGGAGGCTATCGGGTCAGCCTCCCCCCGGGGCTCGACGCCCTCGCATTCGTCCCCCGATCCTACCCAAGTTTGAAATTAACGTTTCAGAAATACCACCTTTCCTCGTCCGAATCTGAAAGGTCCTATTTGAAGTGCCTTTATGTTTTACAAAGTTATTTATACAAAGAGCGCTGACATCTAAGAAAAATATATTGTAATAACTACACATACGTACGTACGTAGTACATGTTTACAGAAGGATTTTGTCCTCTTTATACAAGAGATTTAATGTGGAAGGAACTGTGTTCTAGATGTCAGAGCTCAATGTATAAAAATCAGTATATGTAGATATTTTAAAGACTATTTTCTTCTAATAAGTTTTCTATATAGTTATAAGAAATTCGTCAATTTGATAGACATAATATTTGTTCTATTTTTGGAGTAAAATTTTGTACGTACACATTTTATCGTACGAGAAATATATTTCCAATGATACTGTTATGCATTTAAAATCTAATATCTGTTACATAGAGTTCATAATGTTAAACTTGTTTAAAGAGTATGGTTGTGCAAATATTAGACAATAAATATGCAATACAATAATGGAGGCCAGTTACGCGGTTATTGCAGCGTTAGAAATTTAATATTATACGGAAAGAAAGGGACTTTAGTCGTAGGTGTTGTGAGTGTTCAAAAGTGCCTTCCATTTATACAATTATATAAAGTAGTTTTTGAGTCTCAGGACATTTTATTAATTCAGACAAACGTGTCGGAATTTAAGTCTTTTACCTACGGACCACAAGATGCATTAAAAAATTACGGGATATTGGTTCGATGCCTACTTTTTTGGCGTTTTTATTTCCATAGTTCCGACCTTTTTAAGCTACCCGTGAGTTTAACTGAACACCTTCAGAAAAACATACAAAAATACAAAGGATTATGTTTTTTGCAGGTGTTTCTCAACGCAGAGAACTCCGACCAAAGACTGTAAACTCCTTTTGTCTCCACATTCTAAATTGGGAACTAAACCCTATCCCTCGGTTTATTAGCCGTCTCATATACATAATAAGATTGTGTTCTTTGCGATAAAATTTCGCTTGCACATATAAGTATAGTTATTATATGTTAAATTTTAACCGTCTGTTCTAATTAAAGACTTTAACATAGATTTTTAAATATACGATTTATTAGTGAGTCTATTGTTATATATACCTATATATTATAAAATATAAAATGATGTCATTCATTAGAATTTATCCATCTCTTTCTAGGTTCACCTCTACCGGTAGACCTAGAAAGAGATGGATGGATTCCTTGAAAGGTGACATGATCAAGAAGGGAGTGATGACAGATGACGGATGATAGAGTTATTTGGAGGACGAAAACCTTTTGCGCTGACCCTACGGGAGTAGGATAAGGGGAATGATGATGTTGTTATTACTTAGAAATATCAGAATGGTAACGTAAAATATAATAGTGCCATAGCACATTTATTCGTATTAATGAATGTTTCCAATCAATAATTCTTCATATTATAGTATAGTTTTAGCAATGTTCAAGCGTAAGCTAGAACAGAGAAACGACAATCAGCAGTTCTTCCATTGATAAGGGGTATAATATTTGTTAGTTAATGTTACTAAACTCCGCGTTAGTTTTAAGTTATCGTTCGAAGTTAATACATCTCCATTTAGGAGTTAGTTTCGAGAAAGTTAAAAAAAATAATTGGTGAGCAATTTATTTAGTGTTGAAATATAATTATAGATTATAATTGTATCTACTTAAATATATAATTGGTTATGTAATTCGAATTAATTTACGTGTTTGAAATTTGAACGCACAAATAAGGTCTTCGTTAAGTTTATATAGGGTCGTTAGGTTTCAGTTTGTACATAGTGTAAGGGTAACACTTGAGTTATTATAGATTTATTTTCGCCATTAAGGTATTAACAATTGCAGTGTGATTTATTTAGATTATATAACGGCGCCAGTCTGTCGCACAAAATAATTCGTAACTAAACCTCTTATATACGGATATGTTAATTTCTCATTTTCGGTTTTTTATTTTCGCTATTTTATCTGCATCCTGACGAAGAGATGCAGCTGTGAATTTGTTTATTTTCTCCTTTTTTTTGTAGTATTTTATTTTGTGATATTAGTGCTAACTAAGTTAGCGTTTCATATGTTCATTGTTAAATCATTTTTAATTATTTCTTTTTCCTTTCTAACCACACGCTGCAAGGCAGCTTATTTAAAATTATAGTTTTATATATTTGAAAGAATTCACATGAGTATTATAGATTATAAAACATCGTATTTTTGAGCTCTAAATATGTTGATTCTCTATAACAATATTCATACACATTTAGAACATCCTGTGTATTAGATTTATTACATATCTTTTTACATTTAAGTTTTGCAATTCAATTTAAGACTACTTCAGTGACATTAATGACTTTATTTGCATATTCCTCTATTAAATTGCTTTTTTTTATTTTATTTTAAATGAGTTTTGCTTTATTATAAAAGATATGAATTTTATTATGTATGTTACAAGTACATATTGATGTATATTTTCTATTCTAAACGTATAACAAATTTAATTCAATAATCCTTCACAATTAAGCAAGTATGTGCAATGTTATATTCAACTGTTGTTTATTTTTCTATATTCTATTACTATAGGTAACAAGTAAATACAGATCAAATATTTTTATGCTATATAACTCAGTTTTCATTATTCCAGCCCAATCCAATCCAGCGCTGGATAACAACTGGGAAATGTATACACACACAGGCACTTCCAGTGTAAGTTTACATTTTACAAGTTCTAATCCAGCACTGGCTTCGATCTTTGGATTGGAATAATTTAAACTAGGCATTAAGCTTCACATTTAGTTCGTTTAATCATGGATTTCCACCGTCGAAAGTTATAAAAAACGTTACATTTTATCCCTTAAAATGTCTTTGTAAATTCTGAGATAAGGGAAATTACGCGAATTTTTCGGCCGTGGAAACCCATGTTTAGTTTTTAATTTTCGATTATTTTGTTATGTTTTAATTAGCTTTGCATTTTTCCCTTATGTTTTTTCAATTTTGAAACTTACCTACTTCTTCTAAAGTTTATCTTCGATGTAAAAAAATATGGTCAACTACTATAAAATAATGTAAAAAGAAAAAAATATATGTAGTAATATTTTTCATTTCAATGTTTTAATTTTATATAGTAGATACACATCTATTGAATTTTATACTTCTTTTTTTAATATGTCAAAAATTATAAGTTTGTCGAATAAGTAACAATTATTAACTAGCACGTTTTTATGGTTTATTATTCATTTAATCTTTTGTTCGTAGCAAACAGTAAAGCTTTAACATTTGATGTAAACTACGCAAAAGATTATTTTTATTGTAACAAAAAAATAAGTAGGTATATAAGGGAACGAACTTTACCAGCGTATTAAATATTAATAAAGAAACGTGTACACTGCAAATAATAATTCTTATAAAATAAAAAACATTAAAGACTAAATTTTTGTTTAAATTTATTCACCTGGTACAGAGTTTTATATGATTTTGAATTTTTTCGTTTGTATGATCTAGAAATAAAGAAAAAGCTGTTGAGAAAACTAAGTAGGTAATAAGACAGATGTTAAGGTAAGCTTTGTTATTTTTAAACCTAAAAATTTCCAAGTAACTTTTTTCACATCTGTTCCCGTGGAGGACTAATATGCTTAAAATGTCGAGAACGAAAATATTAAATTAACCTAAAACGCTAAATTTCATTTTAAAATTAATTTTTGTTAACCGGGAGTTTAACTTCTACAATAGTTTTCCTCCTTTCGCTTGCCTTTAATTGTAATTGATTTTTAGATCCAGTATATCACTACACCTACGAAGATGATGGAGAGGGTAATTCTGTGCCAGTCATCACATTGGAGGTCATCTCTAATTACACACAAACCGATCCTACCCAAGAGTATCCCGAAGTACCAGATCTAATGTTAAGTGAAGCTCAAATGATAGAATCACAAGACGCGACATGTCCGCAGTATGAGAATTCATGTAGCCAAATGGAGCCGGTTAAAAATGACAATGAGAACCAAGAACAAGAACAATTTAACAGCTCTAAATTGAGAGCGAATTTTCTGGAGTACGTGACAAGAAATGATGGGAGTGTACTATGCAAGTTATGTGGGGAGATCTTACAAAGTAGAACGCATTGGTACAGGCATAAATACAAAGCACATGCTGCACCGCCCCTGAATCCGGCGCCACTATTTCAATGTGAACAGTGTCTTGTATTCTTCAAGAGTAGGAAAGGTACGTAGCTGTTTTAGAAGTATTGCTTTATTATTTGCAAGGTTTTTCAATATATTAGGTGGTCTCTCTGTGTAAATAAAAAAATATAAACATGCGTGAAATTTCAGGGTACATAGGTCACCTAGCTAGCAGACATAGTGAAGTTCTAGCAGATTCAAGTCCGGTTTTAACGAACTCACAAGCAGAAGAACTTGCCAAACAAACACAAACGCAAGCCGAGGTACGAGATGATACGGATCCAGAACTAGCTATACCCAAAACGAGTGTGCCCAATTATCAGTCTATCGACAAACAAGCGACAAAAACTATAGAGACAAAACGAAATTACAGGAATACTAAAGGTACTTATCTTCTTCTTAATCTTACTAATGTAGTAACTGCGAAAGTTTAGATAGATGGATGAATGTTTGTTAGAGTTTATAGGCTAAACTGCTGAACAGATGTCGGTGAAATTTGGCATTTATGTAGAGGATAGTGTGGAAGAAGACATAGGTTACTTCCTTCTGTTATTTTTTAATTATGGAATTGCGCGCGAAAGCTAGTCATTACAAAATATTCAGTGTGAATATACCCAAATTGTGCAAGAAAATCCTGTATCGAACAGCTTTTCAGAGACTTATAGTTCAGGATAATACGTATACAACGTAACGTAAACATTAGTTTAAGTTTACTATGTGGACGACTATGTTTGTTGTCCGCAACACTCGCATTTTATCTTTGTTTTTTTTTTCAATGAGAATTAGACTGTGTAATTGAACAACTTTTTGCACACTAACATAGATAATATGTTTTTTAGTCTAGATAACTTCGTCATTGACATCTGTCAGAGCAACGTATCTAGTGATGTGAACCAGCAAATAAAAATGATAGCCGTTTAAGATAAACAATATTAAAAGAATTAATATTTTAATAGACTGTCGCTTTTTAGGTGTTTGAATTGTTGTTTTATGGTAAATGTCACATATTCCAGATCAGGAAAATCAAGCAGATTGGGAAGAGCGTCGTACCCGAGAGGAGAAACTCGTTGCCGATATTATAGACCGTGTGCGGAGGGAGTGCGAGGCGCAGGGCTCCGGCGGACCGGCGCGGCGCGGTTACACGCGGCGTACCACCGTCATGAACACGTAATTCCCACAAAGCGACACGTCAATGTTAATGTAATGTCAAAAGTTCCTCTGAATTGTCTACAAAAACTTTTTAGGTCTTACAAGGCCGCTAAAGCTCATCGTTCGTGCCAAGTCTTTTGGTATATTTATTTGCCATTTTATTGAAGTGCCAAGTTATTAATCTTTGTATTTGTATAAGAAATTGTAAATAGTTATTTATGTATTACTGTTAATTAGCTATATTTGACGTTGTCAATACTTTTTTTAAGCGTCGTTTTGTTATATTGGTGATAATTTTTGACGAAATTTTACGCTCACACTGAGATGTTGTTGATTTTTTCTAATGTTTTGTTAATTTATTTTTCTATTTAAATTATACTATAGTTTATAATTGCTATAAAATATTTTTATGGTGTAAACAAAATTTTACCTAGCTCTTGATAAAATTATTTTTAATGTCAAGAGCCAAGTATAATATTACATTTAAGTACCCAAGAACAAATAGTGCTGCAGCAGATAGTGCTGTCGCATTAAATACAACACGTAGATATATACCTAGGTTCATTTTATTCTTCTTAAGTACCTATTGTCTTTTAAGCTCAATATATACTCTTAACTCTAGTCTATAATACAAATTGTTTCTTACACTGTTTTTAAAATGTAACGTATAATAACTCTTCCATCTTTAATTAAATCATTGTGCCAATAATGTGTCGTGATAGTAACCGTTGTCATAGTAATTTTATGTTTTTACCAATTTCTTTACTTAGTTTGGAAACTAATTGATATGTTTTCCGTTTTTAGAATTGTTTCTAAACGTACAAAATATTACTTTTTTGTATATATGCAATGTTATCCTGTCACTACAAATGTTCTGTAACAATTACCGTTGTTATAAAATGAATGTGTAAGTAATTTAGGCGAATGCGTGGAAAAGTATTTTTTTAATGGATTTGTGATTCAGATTGATAAATAATAGTTTATTAAACAAATACATAAAACGTGAGTATGCAAAATTGGACACGTATAGCGAACTAATTAGAAGTTTACAATTTCGGTCCTATGATATTCAAAACAAGCTTTTACGTATTCGTGATATTATATTAATACGATAGAAAATATTTTTTTTAGTTTCGTGTAAGCGTAATGCTAATAATAAAAATTATTGATCGTAAATGGCTGATCAAAATTCTGTCCTACAAAAATCTACATAGATATAAGAATGAATTGTGAGACTGGTATTACATATTTAATATTGTTGAATATGTAATTTAATTTAGGTATTTTTGCATTTGTGTTATACACTTTATTTTTTGTATTTATGTAAATAAAAATCGAAGTACGCCCATTTACAATAATCAAAAAATATTATTTAATTCTAATAGTAAATTGTTCGGCGTTAATAATTATTATATGTGTAATATTTTATCTGTGTATCAAGACAGACGCTGGCAACAAATAAAAATATAATTATTTAGCAGGTCTTTTCCATTGCCACTACCCGTTGTTTGATTCTTCATTTGAAGCCTTTCTTGTGGCTCTTACCTAATTCACGTTTTTAGACCATTCTTGACAAATCTATTCTAAGCTTTTTAATTGGATCCCATATACTTTGTATTCATATAATGTAAATTAATTTATGTCGAATGCTTGTAAAAAATGAAAAAATACGTTTAAAAACTCTCTGAAGCCTATATGTCCTACATTGTCGTTTTTTAATTAAAATAAAGAAATGAATATACTTACGCGTTAAAAAGGTTGTACACACACCACTAGTGTCAATGTCAAATAGAAGTAGTCAGTGTCATTTGGTAAACAAATAATAAAACCTTTAAATATTAAATTAATTTAGCGTCACGTATGTATTAAGTATTTATGAAAAAGAAATACAGTTACCATCAGTTCAAGAGTTGAAGATGCCCCAACTATTTCAAGTGTTAAGATGTTATAAATGTTTAGTTTTTCAAGTGAGTTTAGTCTTAATTTGTGATTTGTCGTAATTCTATTTTAAGTTTTCTTTGAATTAATTTTTGAAACAATGCTTTAGATACATCAAACGAAGAAGTCAAATAAATGGCAATGCAAAATGTGTGGTGAGAAACAATCTATTAAACGTCATTACGGGATTGGTAATAGTAAAGAATGTAGACTTCACGTTCAGAAATTAAATACATTAAGAGGAGAAATAGAGGACGAAAAATTAAATAGCGTTAATTCAGATGACAATAATTCAAATTCTGAAGAAGAGATAATAGAAAGAAATATAGTTAAAAATGAAATAAGGACTAAAAGTAAATGGTCTACATATATAGAGAATGAGGCAGAACAGGTAAATGAGCCTTTGTATTTAGGTAATAATGAAGTTTGTTTAGGAATTCCTAGTAAACATACTAAAGCTGTTAAGAGGAAAAAAGTTATTCCTACAAATAAAGAAAATATGATAAGTTTTAGAGCCCCTTATAAATGTGAATCTGAGAACACCACAATGGCCTTTGCTCAAAAGTTGGTAGAATCTGTAAATTCTGTAGATGATAAATCAAATATCATAATTTCAAATGAAACAACACATCCATATAAAACAGTATCTAGTTATAAAGAAAAAAGTTTTGAGAAGCCGAAGGTTCATAAAAATTCAAAATGGGCACAATTTGTTGAAAGTGATGATTTTGCAGAAAATGAATGTCAAAATACTTCAACAGATACAAAAAAGTTGTTTCAATTGTGTGCTGATACTGATCTTGATGATGTGCTGAACATTTAGTTTTTTGTAATATATCTTTTCTATCTATTAATAAAACTATTGAAATAAAACTGTTTATTCAATAGAAAATACAGTTTCTATAATTTCAGGACATTGGAGTACATTTAATAATCAAAGAGATAATTACATTTTTAAGTAATAAAAGGATAGATTTTGGCATAAAAAAAACACTCTTAATTTAAAATTAATCAATGATAAGTTTTAATACTAAAGAATAAAATATGGTATTGTAAAAGACCAGGAAAAATAATTCTGTTCACTTTTTTCTATTCTATGCCTATATTCCACAGGAGAGACTTCTTAGTAGAGACAAGCGCGGAGGTGCTTCTTTTAATATTTCCCATTGTAGCAGTGTTACCATAATCGATGTGTATTTGTGCACATATTTGCTATTTAATATTCTCCTTAATATTAATAAAACTCGGGTAATTATCACAATGGCAACAGTTTAATATCACTTCTTTATTTCTAATAGACAAAGATGGGTACAGACAGATATTTTATTCTCATTACAAAGTTTGATTACATTTTTTTTCGTTGAATTAACCACATTTTTTAAATCTGAACTTTAATAAATTTCCATTTAAAAAAAATGTAATAAAAACCGGAAACTTACAAAGTATAAAGATTAGTATATTTATATGATAAATATTTAGCAAATTCTTGTGGTTTGTACAGTTCCATATTACTTAAGCATTTAGATAATACTTCAGGCAGTGATTTAACTTCTTAATTTATATAAATCTAGAATATTAGGCCTCTAAATAGTACCTATTTAATAACAGTATCTACTTTCAAACAATACATTTAGGCACGGGAGAGTAAGTAACTATAAACATTTAGAGCCTAGTCATCTATTGAAAAGTCATTACGAACATTGAATAAGAGTTGAAGAACGATTACAACAGGAAGCCCTACTAGATTCGATGTAATTTTTTATAACCTCTACTAAACATTCGTCGTATATTAAAAACATTTTAATGTTTTCACATTGAATACTACAAAATATCGTTAAAAATTAAATTACGATAACGGCTACGGGGTTCGAAACCCCCAAATCGATAAAATCAATGTGTCAATCACATAATTCACTATAAACAGACTAGAACACCATCGTGTGACGACGACGATGCAGCTCTCTCGCTCTTGCATATCGACGACCGTAACCGCTCCAACGCCATGCTCTGGTAAAATTCACACAGATGAAAACCCTATTTGTTAGTAATAATAAAAACCAACTGTCGATATCTACGACATTCGAGGAGTCAGAAGGATATTAATCAAATAAAACTTCTTTGGTCAAAAAGATCTACATTGGATCCAATATGGTGACCAAGTTGATGCCCGATTTACATTATTTCAGTAAAGTGAGTCAGAATTGGCTCTGCATTATAAGTGGAATGGTGTTGTATCCAGTATGTGTAAATCGGGCATGTCGGCCAAAAATTAATGGTATAAAATGTCAGATTTACCTTTCATTATATCCTAGAGGTTCACCTCTATACAGATGTTGATCATCCAATCGTCTGTTTATTTCTTCGCTACTTCCTAAAATTAATAACATCAAAATTCAATATTAGAATTATTCGTTCGTCCTTACTACATTCATTATAATTTGTTAACAAATTGTAGTTGAGAATCTTACCGGTTGGATTTGAGTGGGAAAACCGTCTGCAAGATGGCCCCCGACAAGTTAGGAGCTGCTGCAATTGATTGTGGAAATAATCCCTTTCAGATTGCGTCAGGTACTTCACTCTATTCTGAGTCTCAAAAGGATCTAAACGATAATAAAAAAAATGGTAAACATATTTCATTTTTTTTTATAAAATGTTGTTTTTATAAAATTAAAGCCCTCCAGTAGCCATACAATAATTAAATATTATTGGCCATAAAATTTTATAAAATAAATCGACTGTTACATAAATTATTGTCAGAGATTTTCAAACTCTTTATGAAATGTAAACTTACCAATACGTAGGTTGTAGTAAGTTACGAGTCCGGTAACAAATTCGCAGTAGAGGAGATTGTGTGTAGCGTTAATGGTTCTCACACAATTATATGTGTTGTTGGATGAACTCATGCAGAAACAAAACGGTCCCGCGGTCCAAAGCGGTGCAGTTCTCCAATGCTCGTTGTCGTGTCTAAAGCAATTCATGCGCTCCGATTCGCAGAGCCTCTCCAATTCCGCCTGCAAATTGTTTAATAATCATTGGATAAGTTAAACTGTTTTCATTAGACTCTGTATATTTTCAGTACAACACTGTGGGACATAATACCTTCTTCTTAGCTTTCCTTAGTTTCTTGCGCAATCTCTGTTCTTTTAACTTCCTTCTTTCTTCTCTTGCTTTTTGAGCTGCTTCTATATAAGCGTGTCCCGGACCTCTTGGCTTCCTAAATAATAAATTACTTAGATTAAAGAGATCTTTAAAGATAAAACGAATGTATTCTGGAATTTAAATAGACGTACCGATTCTCTTCACAGTAACAAACATGTTTATCTTCATTTTCAATAAACAAGGGGTGAAGTCTTCTTTGGAAAATGTCCGTTGGTTTACTAAAAACGCCCAAATCAGCACCAGCTTGGTTAGGATTCCTTTGCTCGTATTCAGACGCATCGAATCTTGTCGGTCCTAAACTCGGAGACGCAGTTGTATCGTATTTTATTGTAGGTTTGCTTGTAGACGTTGAAGCTACAGTCGATATGCTATCGAAAGTAAAAATATTCGTGAATTTGGGGGTAGTTGAAAGTTTATCGATTGCATCATATAGACGTGAAGTATCTGGTGTACGAACAGATGAACCGACATCTATAATATATTCGTCTATTTTTTGTTTTGTCGTGGAAGTAAATACTGGTTTTAAATACTCTGTTGTAGTTATGTCATCTAATATCGTAGGTAGACTATGTAAAGTTGTTTGGTCGTCAACTCGGTTTTGATCAAAGTAATTCTTTTCTATGATAATCGTTGTAATCTGAGGTTTAGGCAATTCTGTATTATTTGCTTCTGCTCCGTCATCTGACATATTTAATTCATACCGTAATGTAGTCGCCTCTGTAGTGGTTGGTTCATTTTTAAGTTGAGAACTGAATATATTTTCTTTGGTTACAGAATTAACAGTTGAAACTGTGTAACCATTAGGTTGCTTAAATTTTTTGTCTAGTGTATTATTTCTATGTTTAAATTTCATTCTGTGAAGCTTCGTTTTCCTCAATTGATCTTTAGATGTTGTTTCATGCGTAGTATTTCTACTACGTAAATGATGATTTTGATTAGCATAATGTGGAACAACAGTTTGCAAATCAATCATTGGTTTGCTTGTTTTTAAGTGTCTTTTTATCTCTTTTAAGTCTTCAAGCTTCGTCCGTAGTTGTCGTATTTGATCTTCTAGGCTCAGCCTGTTAGTATGCCAGGCTTTTAAGTCATTATAGATTATTTGTGAACAATTCACAGTTCCGTCTTTTTCTATTTTACATTCTAAAGATGATTCATTAGTCTCTAAGACGTCGTTCTTTTGTTTATGCTTATTATGATTTAAATGCTGAGCTCTCCGTTTTATTCTCTTATGATCTATATTTTCTTTGGTACGTTCATAAGCTTCAATATATGCCTCCGTTTGCTTGATCAGTTCGTCCACTCTATCTTTGACGCTCTTATTTTCTACTTCATTAAATGGCTCATTCAGGAATCTCAAATGTCCAATACTGGGATTTTCTTCCAGAATACTTTCAACAGTATTTGGTTCAAAGACATCATTATCGATTGATCTACGATTGCGAGTTGTATTTTCTTTTTGACTTTCACTCGGTCGCCTTAAGATTGTTCCGTCTGTTTCCAGTCTTGTATAAACGAGTCCACTTGGAGTAAAACATGCGCATTTCTTTGTGCTCATTTTCGGCTGCGGAGCGTTTATTT